CATCATTAAAGTGTATTGTTTTGTAGTAGATATTAAAGCTAAAAGCAGAGTTCATGCTGAAGCCGGACCATGATCGGATGGATGGTAAAGACAAAATTGTATTACACAGATTTACATTTTAAGTGAGCTGTAAAAATGAGTATAATGAAATTATAAATGATAGAAATGATTAAATTATAATAGTGTAAAATGATGATACAGGATCATATAGATCAAGTTTAAGGACTTTAAATGCCCAACACAATGGCACGGCACGGGGAGAAGATACCACTTTCATAACTGGAAATCAGATGGCAGTTTGAGTGGTGGTCTCGGTAGCCAAAGGACCTGCTGTATGTTCACACCAAGTTATCCATGTTTTGGAAACACAAAGATGTCTGCATATTTGTGTGACACACTAACATGTAGAGAACAGAGGAGTCTTCCATTAAGAGAGTGAGTAGGAGATATGAGAGAGGGAATCTGCTTGGGGAGGATGCATCTGAAGGAGGAAGCCCACAAAGACAAACTTCAACAAGAGGAGAATTTTGCTGTCTAAATCCCTATGGACTAAGTGTGGCATCTTCACCAGCCATAGAGCCAGGCATCCTTAATAAAAGAAAAACTTTTTAGGGACTGTAAGACCTTTGGAAGTGTTGGTTATAATCCAAGAGACTGCAATTGGATTAGCCACATAAATTAATGTGGGATACTGTGAGAAAGTATCTGCAAGATCATAAAGGACACGGGTGACTTTTTTTATAAACCTTAACGTTACTTTTGTCTGAGTAATTCTGAAGGGTTTTTGTTTTAAAAGGATAACTATTCTAATAAACCCAGGCTTTTACATTTAAAAACTTGCTTGTTCATCACTAAGGAGCTCACTATGAAATAAACATTTGGGCAGATCCACAGTGGAGCTGTGGCCAGCTTGGAGTCTGGTCACACTTTGTTTATTAGATAGTAATTGTGAAGGAAATTTGTCTGATCTGTGATTTGAATGGGACATCGATGAGACCAGAAGATAGCAGGGTTTATTGTTGCTAGCTATTGCATGTAAACCTTTCTGTATAGTTTCTGAACTTTGGAATTATATTGCTGGTCTGTTTATTTTTATTCAAAGTATTCTGTGTACAGAAGTTTTAAAGGAGAGTTTGGTTAGTCTTAGAACAGGGTAAGAAATAGAACTTCCTACTGTTAACACCTCATCTCAAGATGTTTCGACAGGAAAACCAAATGCAGAAGCAGTCAAAAAGAGGCAAAACGGGATAATGTGGACCCGTATTGCTTATAAAGAGAAAGGAAAAAAGCACATTACCTCTCTGGAGGTCAGTAGTAGAAGAAAGGAAGAGAACCTTGTGAGAACAGAACAGTAAAAAGTATGTTTTATACTTCTGCACATTTATCCATCACAAAAGCTACCTAAAGGTCAAGGTGGATGTGGACAGAGGCAAGTATTAATTGTGAATTTTATGAGAATTACTTTGCCGTTGAGGACAGAATAAAAGGTTTAAATTGAGTGGTCACTTAAGTGATCTAGATTGTATATTCATTTCATTTGAAGGTAAAATAAATATTGTTAAGTTTATGCAATTTCTACGTGAAAACTTGAGTGAGGATACTTCTTGTTGTGGGAGTTTGAGAAGAGAGGATTGTGTGAAAGAGGTCTGTTTCCTTGTTACCTCCTCAGTTAAGTGCCTGACATTAGGGACAAACTTGCAATGAAACCTGTTGAAAATTAAACAAGCTCTCTAGGAATAAAGTAACACTTTCTATTAACTTTTAAATAGTAGTGTTTCAGAGTTGCTGGTATTTCTAAGCTCCAGGTTACTTTCCTGTGAGAGATACAGCAATTGGAAATATCAACAGCCTGGCATCTTTAAAGCAAAACTAGTGTTTTGTGTATTTTTACAAACAACTACATGGATTTATGGTTCACATTTCTGGTTTAATCAAAATGCTAGTTTTCAACCACTTTTCAGATAGGAAGTTCTTAAGGAAAGTACATTCTATTACCTCATTGCAGTCCAGGAATGGACAGAAGGGTGGGCATTTAAGAAATGTACAACGTTGCAAATGCCAGTAACAGTGGGGCTTTTCCCAGGGTGGTATAGTCAAGAAAAATGGCTTTGAAAAACAATGAAGAGAAGCAGAAGTTCGCTTACATTAGTAAACAGTCTGTCTTCTTCTGTAGAAGAAGAGCTAAAAACATCATGGAGAGCTGTAAGGTGTGATGCCTTACAATTCATCGCAGTTGACGGAGAGATCTTGTGCAAAAAAAATCAACTCCCTCTATATGCAGTGCAGAAGCATCTCAGATTCTGCTCGCCTTTAATCTGGTGGGATTTTTACCCTGCTCTTCCCTATTAACTATGATGGCATGAAATGTCTTTAATTGTTTAATTGTTTTTTCTGCAAATACAGAAATTTCCGAAATACAATTGGAGTAAAAATGGTGTCAAATGATGTAATGCTGAGTGGAAGGGAATGACATTTATACGTTTCAAAGCTGATTAATGCTTTTCCAAATTAGAAAAAGCAACAACAACAAAAAAACCAACAAAAACCACAAACCTAATTTAAACTGAGTTGTGCTATATTTTGTTCCAAACTGCATGTATATTACAAGCAGAAGTGTGATTCTGATTAGCCTTATTACTTAAATCCTGGTGTACTCAAATCTTTACATTTGCATCAGACCTCTCCACAGAGCAAGGTTCGGAGAACTTCTTGATTCATAGTTCAGATTATTTTCTATCCAGAAAGGACCAATTTGATAGCATAATCCAATGTCCTTTTTGGCCATGTATTAAGTAGTGTAGTGAACACTGTATCACATCAAGTTCTAGAATATCTGCAGATTACTATTTTAATACTAAAATTCCTGAAGCGGGGAGAAACTAATTTTCCTGTTACAATGTTTTTGCCTTGTTTAAGCTTTGAAATTTTGTGGCTTCAGCTATGTACCAAAGGAACTCAAGTGTAATGCTGCTGTTATGAAGATGTTTAGGATGACTTCTCGCTTGGTGTGTTTTTGAAAAAGGACCATCTAAGAGCCATTTCTTGTAACATGCTGCATTATCTGTCTATTTGGTTTTTATGATGTCTTGTTTTACCTGTACAAATTAAAAAATTAGAGCTGTGTTGAGCTAGAAGCTCTCTGGGACAGAGATTTTGAGCTAACAGAGTAGTTATAATTTTTATTATGAAATTGTTGTGCTCCCTTGCACTTCAAAACTTCATCTTGTTCATCAAAGTACCCTTCCAGACAGATTTTGTCATTTCAAGTAGGAATAGATGTGTCTGTCCACGTCACAAAAGTTGGATGATTCTATAAATTCTGTCCTTTGAGTTTGTTTTTTGTGATGTGGAGGTTTGTTGAAGTTTTGTTGGCAAATGGAAGGTAATTTAGTGGAATATAATCTGTGTTAGAAGTGTAGATTTGCTGGAATCTACTTGTGGCTTTCATTATAGTCACTAATTTAAAATTCCTTTCTAGTGTAGGTTTTACCTCCGAAAAACTTCACCTTGCCAATATTATCTGAAAATTGAATGCTTATTTAGTGCAGCTGGATTAATTAGATGATCAAGTTGATATCTTCAAATGCATTCTCACCGGCATCAACAAAAATTAGGAGGGATTTGAGATTAGAAAACATGATAGACATATGTGTTATGGAGACTGTTCCTCCAGTTAGGTCCTCCACGTTTCCATGGTTTAGAATGCAATGCAAAATGTGCTCTTTTAATTGTACAGGTTGTGAATGATTGTGTGGAAGTCATCTGGTCCTGAGACACCTTTCATGCTATTGAGTATTTAACAGTCACAGTTTATGTGGGGAGGGGTTAGTTTGGATAATATTGCAGGTTTTCTCAAAGTCTTGGAATTTGTCTTTAAAAGCTGTGGTGCTTTTAAAGGCACTTATGAATGGTTTCCTCAAAAATAAAGTATTACCAGTAGTGTTAAATTACTAGTAGTATGGTAGTAAGTATCCCATAGGCTAAATCTCAAAGTTCATTTGCATCTGCAAGCATAACTGGCTTCCCAAATTAGGTAATCTTGTGAAGAACAGTTGAAATGGAAGTGGCTTAGTCCCTCTTATTGTTCAGTTGTCTATATTCTTGCATTTTTGTGCCTCATTTATTTAAAATGACCTTAATTAAATGTGAAGCACACCATTAGCTTACAGAATTGAACTTTATGGCTTGTTGTACTTGCTATTGCATTATTTTGCCAAAAGATGATTTGTACTCAAAGAGCCCAATCCTGGCATTAGTGACATAATGCAAAGTAAGGGCAAATTTTAATTTTAATTGAGTGATGTGGAATTAGGTTCTGTGTTTCCATCTGTACCTTACAGGTTTAGTAGTTACACAAAAAGATTAATCATATTTCTCAGAAATGAATAAGCTGACCTATACTGATTTGGAAATGAAGCAAAATAGTTGTGAGCTGTGCCCACTCAAAACCAGAAAATTTTGTTTGAATTATCATCTTAGGGTTTGTTTTGTTGTGGTTTTTTTTGTGACGGGGTTTTGTTGTTTTGTTTGTGTGTGGTTTTTTTTTTTTAATTTGTTAATATTTTGGTTTTAAATTGTAGAACTGGAGCTTTACCATTACAAGTAGATTTAGGATTTTTTTCTTCTGATGCGAGCGTTTTAAGGATCAGAGTTTCAGAATGCTTGCAGCAGCCTTGTATTTTTCTGTCTGTTCGTGACAAACCAGCTACTGTACATTCATATAGAGCAGTACAGTCCTTGCCACTGGCAGTCTCTGTGTGACAGAGAGCCTGTAGGCTGACATAAAGTGCAGCCTGTTGTGAACTGCTAAATGGGAGCCTGCCAAAAACTCAGCAGACAGAACTAATTGGGGAGAAAAAGGATTTTTGTGCCCTCATCTCTCCCTCTTCAATTTTTTTTACAAGACGGATATTGTTAAAGTAACTTGTTTATGTAAGATTTGTCTGCCTCTATTTTCTCATTGCATGAATCATTTTTTAACTTCAAGTCTTGCACCGCAGGTCACTGAGCACTTCCACATGGCGGCTGGCACAGGACCAAACTCGAGACACGCAACTCATCACAGTTGATGAAAAATTGGTAAGGGTTTTCTACTGCATACTGCTATGATACAGCCTTCAGGGTTATTTTGGCACAATAGGCATTCAGTATGGTATTCTGCGTTCTTCTAGGAAAGTCGTATAAATGTGAACTACAAAGCAACAATACTTCATACATTTTTAAAAGGGGAAAATTAGTGAAACAGAAGTATGTGAATGGAATATGGCATTCAAAGTGTTAAGCAATATAAAATGATAAGTACCTTTTTTATTCCATTATGTCCAAGGACCGGTATGAGCTGCAATTTATAACAAGTTTGTTCTTTTTGAAGGGTATATTTTTTGGGGTATGTTTTCTGTGTAGTGAAATCATACAGAATTCACCAGCTTCGTGACATTATCTTCGTTAGGACCCATGTTAGCTAAAGAAACTGTGTAAAGAAGCATCATGCAACATTGTTGTTACTATGCACATACACTCTAGCTTTTGAATATGCATGAAGGTTAGATTACAACTAGGAACAAATGCATAACATTCTTCTGCTAATCAGTAGCAGATCAGAAATTTGGCAATCTTTTCTTGTAAGTTCTTCCATAATGTGTGGTCTGTTACTCTAGATGCAACCTGACACTTATGTTTACATTATTCAATAGTATAATTTTTGTAAGACTTGTAGGGGAATGCGTCACAGCAGAAGCATGCTTTTCATTGGTTTTCATATTGCTTTTGGATCTTCAGGAAGGAAAAAAATTCCCATCATATGTACCAGACAGTTCGTATTGTAGGTACTTTCTTATATCCCTGAACCTACATTAACTACTTAAGAAATATTAGGAATGTATATTTATAAATTGAGCATTTGTAATGATAGCTACAAGTTGAGACAGCTGAAGTTTAACAAGCTATTGGAATAAATGCACCTACTTTAACAACTCTTTAGGGCTTTTTTCCTTATTGTTTGTAATATAGATGTAGCAGTAATAATCTACTCATAGGTAACAAAATTTATTTTTTTGTAAACTTTTTTCTGAACTTAAAAAGTAATACTATAATTTTAGGTTTAAAAATTAGGGAAAAAATCAATACTGTGTTCTAGCAAACACGATTATCTTGCTAATCTAGTTGCATCACTTGGAATTCAGGAAATTTAATGTACGAGAGTTCAGGAGTCACTATGTAAATAAGATTCACCAAGTCAAGAGACCTGCATTTCCCTAAGCGAATTATGAATTGCATGTGATTATTATAGCACCGTTCTGCAACACTTAAAAAATCTAAATAGAGTTTTTATAATGCCTGATTTTACAGTATCACATTTCGCTACTGTGACCTTGGGTAATGGATACATAGCTCTGAAAGACACTACAGTGTGAAGACAAACCCATAAAATAAACACTATTCTGTCTTCCATTTTGTATTTAAATGTGCCTTATCCTAAGTTAGGGTTGTACATTATGCTGTCTGGCTATACTAATTTGAAATACAACAATTCTCTTAGTGTTAATGTAAATGAATTGTAAGTGAAGTGGTTATTTCTAATGTCATTATATGTTCTCATCAAGCTGAAGATATTTTTATCATAGTTGCCGGGGGTTTTTTTGAGATCTTACAGTAGCAACCATTGAACAATTTTGTTTAATTTTGATACATGTAATGTATCTAAATGATTCTCCCCAGGTCTTTCAAATATTAGGTTAAACGTCAGACTGAACAGTATTTTCCTAGAATGTTGTGCATATAGGTGGACATTCTAGATGCATATTTTTTTCCGTATTATTGTAGGACCAGAAACAAAATTACAGAAAATTAGAATATTATTTTAAAATTTTCATGTGTAGATTTAGCTAAGTTTTTGGAGAAGTTTCCATAATGCCATAAAATATCCAATAATTGATGTTCTGTTAATGGGCAAAAATTTATATCCCATTAGCAAGGAAAATCTTCATGAAGAGGTTTGATACGATTTTCAACTCTCAGGATTAGGAGAAGTTCTCTGGACACCTGTTAAACCTCATGGAAAGTAGAGTACTGTGTTAACTTATTTCATGTTGTTGCAGTATATTTCCTAATTTAAAGCAGGATTAATTACAACCCATTAAAACTAAATTAACATATGACATGAATTTTCTTTTTTTTAAATAATGTTGCGAAGCTTAGCAAAGCTATTATTTCTGTGCAAGGGGACACCTTGTTGCTCTCTACAGCTACTTCAAAGGAGGTTGTAGCGGGGTGGGTGTTGATCTCTTTTCCCAAGTAACAAGTGATAGAACAAGAGGAAACGGCCTCAAGTTGTGCCAGGGGAGATTTATATTGGATATTAGGAAAAATTTCTTCACCAGAAGGGTTGTCAAGCATTGCAACAGGCTTCTCAGGGAAATGGTTGAGTCATCGTCCCTAGAGGTATTTAAAAGATGTGTAGATGTGGCAGTTAGGGGCATGGTTTAGTGGTGGGCTTGGCAGTGGTAGGTTAGCGCTTGAGCTTCTTGATCTGAAGGGTCTTTTCCAACCTAAATGATTCTGTGATTCTAACTTGTATTCCAGAAGTTGGTGCTTAACTTTTAATTAAAAAAGACCCCTATTCTTGTGTTACTGCCACATATATGCATCTTTCTGTTAGAAATCACTGAGTCATGTTTTGATGGATTTGTTGGCTTTATCATACTTTTTTTTTTCTGAAGCCTGTCATCACCTTGTGGGTGGTTTTTATGTGCAGATCAGAAAGAAGAAGCAAGAACAGGTGGAAAATGAGATATGGTTATCCTTGTTTGCCTTATTCCTCTTGTAACTTATTTTGAAGCTGAACACTGCTGTGAACCGGTGTTTACAAGGCTAGTAGACTAACGCTGTGGTTATTGAGAACTTTTAACTGCATATTGCAGTTGAATTAATTTATTTCCCGTGCTTTTGTAGACCTTGCATTCCTATGTGTGTATGCATATGCTAGAACTCGATCAACAGGTATTCCTGTCAATTATCTAGAGTCCCATTTGGTTTTGTGAATACTAAAATATTCCTTATCTTGGGAAACACAAATGAAGTAGAAGGAGAAAGACCATCCTGAAACTGAATTACTAGGCAGTAGTCAATCACCTGCTTACTGCATCCTACCATGTGTTGAATGCAACAGAAAAACGAGTTCCGATGAAACAGTAGAAAACACAGTAGTTTAGGCCACATTGATTTATCAGAAAAAAGTGGGACTCTTAAATGTAAAAGGATTTGAATGTTCAGCTTGTATAGAACACATCCAAGAAATTATACCTTTGTCTCAGTTACTAGCCGTTTTCAGTGAATATTGAATAAAATAACTTTGAACAGACAGTTACATCTGAAGAAAATAATGTACAAAATGAACAAAGCTAAACAGAAATACAGTTCTTGCATCACATTTTGAATCTCTGGCCACCAATTAGGTCATATTCCAAGAGTCTGGACAAATAGCTGTGTGAAAAATAGTCTCTCAAGACCCTGCTTGCATTAGGAAATTTGGGCTATAGAGGACAAAGGCTGTCGGCAGCAAATCTCCCTCAGGTAGTGTCCCAAATGATTTAACTGTTTGTGCATATGCAATAACATAGCTTCCATAATCATTATAAAAAGCTTCAGTGGTTTTGTCTGTAATTGGAGTTTGAACTGTTTTAAATTACTGTGATTTGTTTCAGTTGTTCTAAGTAGGGTGCATCAATACTGTTGTAGCAAAAAGTCATCCAGTTCAGCATGTGTGCTTTAAGCAGGCTTCCCAGCCAGTGCTGGTAATGCTGCATTGTGGATGTCTAGCCTGGAGTTTCTGCAGGCTAGGCACTGTTACAAAAGTTGCTGTCGGCATTTGGAAGGTACCCCCAAATATTCACCAGTAAAAGGACTTTTGTAGTGGTTAAATGATACCAGTGTTGCAAGAATGTTTCAAGATTAGAACAGCTAATATTATTTGCATCTCTAAATCAGAGTATTTCACTTTCACTGATAATGTATATGCTGTAGCTCAAAGCAAAAATCATTGCAAGAGCAGTTGTAGGGTTTGGTCACTCTGGAGATGTTAGAAACATTGTGGAACTGTAATTAAGGATCAGCTGTTAGTTGCAGCCATCCCACAGATGTTTTTATTTTGTATCAGGCCAAGCTAAAATAGGATGAATTGCTACACAGAGTTAAGTATTCAAAAACAGTGCTATGAAGTGCAATTGGAATGGTACTAAAGTCATTTTTGCAGCATCGTGAGAACATGTGGGGACAGACTCTATTACAAGCATGACAGGCTAACTACAGTGATGCTGTTGACATTTCAGCACCTGTCCTGAAATTGTTTTGTTTTGTCTATACTGTTAATTAACCGTTTATTCAGAAATCTCAGTACTGAACCTCAGCAGAGGGACAGTTTCCTTCTGGTTGTAAACAAACTCTACATAACTCACTAAAGATAACTTGCATACACCAAATTGGGCGCGGAATAGCTGAGCCCTTTTTTGAGGATGACCAGTTCATACTTTCCAGATGATATTCTAGAGGAGCAGTAAATGCCGTATACTGCAGCAGCCTAGGCCAAAGTGGATTAATAAATGGACTTCGTGGATAAGTGAAAGGCTGTGGATGTTGCTTTCCTGGACTTTGGTAAAGCCTTTGCTACCGTTTCACACAGCATTCTCCTGGAGAGACTGGCTGCTCATGGCTTGGGTGTGCGTACTGTTTGCTTGGTAAAAAAACTGACTGGATGGCTGGGCCCAAAGAGTGGTGGTGAATGGAGTTCAATCCAGTTGTCGGACGGTCACAAGTGGTATTCCCCAGGGTTCAGTGTTGGGGCCACATCTGTGTAATTTTTTTTTAATTAACTGGACAAGAGGGTTAAGTGCGCCCTCAGTAACTTTGCAGATGACATCAAGTTGGGCAGGAGTGTTGGTCTGCGTGAGAGTAGGAAGGCTCTGCAGAGGGATCTGGGCAGACTGGATCGATGGGCTGAGGGCAGATGCGTGAAGTTCAGCAAGGCCAAGGGCCGGGTCCTGCACTTCGGTCACAACTTCATGCAACGCTACAGGCTTGGGGAG